AATACTGTACAATGGATACGGTAGACAATTTAGCTGCTTTGAGGTGCACGATCTATCACAAGCATGATCAAGTTTCATCCTTTAATTTGACAAACATTCGAAGTGTTAAAAACCCCTAGAATGAAACCTTACTTAAAACAACGGACATGACTAATTTAGACCACCTCCATCCAAAACTTGAATCCAGTGCTAAATTATATTACAAATGTCATTGAAGCATATTTAGCCCAAAATCATCTTCTATATCTCACAACCTTGCGGAGTAAACTTCAACCTTCCCCAACCTTATCAAAGTTACTCCACAATCCACCTACGGTAGAAGCCTGCCAAAACATAGAATCTGTTGGCCTCGTAAGATTTCAACTTAATTCCAAAGGAAACAAAGGAACTACATCAACAACGAGACACTCTATCCCAACCTTTCACTTTACAAATCTCAAATCTTGCTAGCAAATTTCAACCTACCTCAACCCTAGTGAGGCCAGAAGCCGCCGGCTGCAGCGCCGCGGCTAGCCTAGAAGCTGCTGGTCTCGTTACTACAGACCAGTCTACGCGCACCGCATAAATTAACCGCGGTCGCATCCATCTAATTATTTGGCGCGGCGGCGGTGGATGCGAGATATCGCTCTTGTTAACACCGTCACCGTCACGATAACTCCCGTTCCCGGTCCTGTACCGCACTCTATCGGCATGTTCGTTATGCGGCTTTGTTGAGCTTGGGGGAGTTTTCATCGTTTTATCAAAACTTGGAAAATGTGGTCCTTCGAAAGCGCAAGTCATTAGATTACTTCAATTTTTCTGTTGTGTCCATACCGTTCGATATATTTAGCTTGCGGGGAGTTTTCAACGTTTTATCAAATCTTAGGGAATTTGGTCTCACGGATACTCGCAATGTTGAGATTAAAATGATGCTTTTCGCATTCATATTTGTCAAGTTTGAGATCACACCCACTTTTCTGGTTTTTATACCGTTTGTTATGTAGCATGGTTTGAATTTCATAGTGGAGGTTTTCATGAAGTTCTTTTGTGAAAAATCTCGGTCCTACGAATGCGCATATGTTAAGGTACATACACGGATTTATTTTCCTCGTTGTTTTCTGACGTTTCCATACCGAGTCATCTTTGTTTAGCATCCACAAAGTTTTCATGAGACAGAAAATTTTAACAAAACTAGACGAATGTTTAGATTAAAATGGTGCTTTGCACATGAATTCGTATTCGTCAAGCTTGCGTTCACACATATTCTGGCATTTACACAACGTTATTCATAAAGCGTTGTTTAGCTTAGAGGAAGTTTTCATCAAAACCATTTTATACAAACATGAGATACAATTTGACAAAACAAATGTTCATAATGCAAAGGATAATTGGTGTGTGTACACGGAGTACACATTGGGGTTCACTCAAAGTTTTTCTATTCTGTGTTCCCAAACCATATGGCTACGTTTCGATGGTCCAAGATGGGGAAAGAACTCGCTGCACCGGAATGGCCTGGTTAAGAAGTGACTTGATTATACCAGTACAATAGTGGTTTGGTTTTCTCGGTTGGATATCAAATTGCATGGAGAACTCTGTGCTTCTGGATATTTCATTGCTGAATTCACTATTTTCTTCTTATCCATTGTTTTCGTACCACATGTCTAGGTTTTAGGAGTATGGTTAGGGTAGAAAACTCCGTTGCCTCCGTCGCTCCAGATTATTTGAATTTAATTTCAATAAAATCTCCCTACAGCCAGAAATTTTCTATCATACGACAAACTTTTGATAAAAAAACCTCGTATTTTGGATTTTTAAATGGCAGAGAATTCTTGAGCCTACAGACTATTTCTTAAATCTCACTACAATAATGCTTGCATAACCAGTGGTTCCATATTACTTTGATAGTTTTTAGCTACCAGATTACAGGAAACTGCGTAAGTTTCATAATTGATCTAACATCATCCAGTGTCGGTTCCTTTACAAATTGGTGTGTTTAACGGATTTAAACGGCAAACACTTCGATGTCTCCAGTTTATTTAATTTTACAGCTCACTAAAATCTCCATATAACCAGTGGTTTCCTACCCGTAAGTGAAGTTTTGCGATTTAGTGAAAGTAAAGAGAAAGAGAGATAACTCTGAAGATTCGGGATAACCCGTTACAGAACTCTATACCGTAGTACGGTAAATTTCCCCATGCCTTCGGTTCCCTCATAAAGACATAAATGGGTAAGTTTCGAGTGATTTTACAAGATAGCTTCATATCTCACAATCAATTATTGAATTTTAAAAGTGACATCGACCCTCCTGCACGGTGGTATGCTATTAGCAATATTTTTAACAACTCTTTGTCTAAGAAGTTTTCAATTTTTAATCTGACTAAATTTCTTTGATCAAGTTGTGGGCAATATCGGTACCGGAGTATCTCGTTGCTGTATACTAACCCTTTACAACTCCGCTAGTCCCTGGGCTCTAGTTTCCCTCCAAATCCCACTGTTTTCCCACCATATGGCCGTCCCGGACCAGTCACATTCCGAGTAACAAGCAGCCCATTGGCGGTCGAGGCACGTGCGACGCAAAAACCGCCCTGATCCAATATTTCGAGTGCCCGCTTTTTGTCCGGGAGACGGATCGTCCGGTAAAAACGAATAAGATATAAACGGCCGCTAAACAATAGCGGGTCCGGCGGCAAAAAGACGACCGCGGGCACGGGCAGGAACATATGGTCGGGTATGATCGGTCATACGCATCTGGCCATCCCGACATATGGTCGTGTTAATTACCGCGGACCGCATTCCCGGGCAGAAATCCCGTTTTGACACTTAATGCGCGCAAAATTAAACGCCTTAACAATAAATAAAGTTAATGTATAGTTGTATTATGCTTTGATTCGTCCGCCCGGTGGAATGCGGGTCGTTAGTGGCCCGTTGGTCCAGCACCTGTGTGCATATCGCGGTCGTAATGGGTCGTACACACGAGGCAATTGATTTGATCGTGCTGGAAGTGTCTAAAACATGCATGTGTCTTGGCAGAAATAATAAAGATGGCGAAATTGTGAGTTTCTAGTTGCAAACTTTTGTTCTAAAAGTAGGATTTGGTTCAATAATTTGTTTTTTTTTCGACCTCTAAATTTATGTCGCTAAAGGGTTTGAAGTTGGGCATCGATTGTCATCTTTCTAATATAGCATTGATATAATAATTAGACAATCTCACTAATAGTATATATGAACGGTCTAAGAGGAGAGAAAAGTTGTGTACGGGTTAAACTAATATTTTGAATGAAATTAACATATTATCTATATAAATAAAATTAGAGTTTTGTCTGTACATTGCTTAGAATAATGAACTTTTTGGTTATTTTTACATTTCATAGGTCAGAGAAACCGAATCAAACCTTATCTCAATTTCTGTCTGTCTGTCTGTCTGTCTGTCTGTCTGTCTATCTGTCATTCTCTTGGTAACGCTAAAATACGCACTTTATTACAACTACTCCTCAATAACTATAGCACTGTCCCGCCTGAAACTTATTTTCCAAATACTATACATATATGAGATGGTTTTAGACGTATTTCATCGAATATGAGACAGTTAGATATTTAACAGTAAACCCTTGAAAATCAAGTTTTTGTCGATTTTTGACGTGGAATTTCTGGAAGCCCATGTTAACCTTATGAGAAATGAAATTATTGAATCTTAACAGCTGTTTCAATTAAACAAGTTGGTTCTGTTCTGTGATGTTCAATAGCATTAAAGTTACAAGGATTACCAACAGGGTGCAGCACTAGCACTATTATTTCTTTTACATTTATGACAACAGCTAATTTGCAACCTGGAGGCGAGTGAGCGTAGCGAACGAGCTAACCTGAAGGCAAGTGAGCGTAGCGAACGAGCTAACCTGAAGGAAAGTGAGCGCAGCGAACGAGCTCCAACATACAGGTGAGTGAGCGTAGCGAACGAACTTCAACCAGGACGTGATTGAGCCATGCAAACGAGATCAGATAGTAAAAATAAAAGTAAGCCTACCGTTATAGGATCGACCGGCATCTTAAAATATGCAAACCAACTGCTGTTCGTTATATAAGAAGGTTTCAACTGAATATTATAAGATCCCCGTGCGTAGAACGGGTACACAGCTAGTAAATAATAAATCTAACAGAAATAGTGCGAAAATGGTGAATTTAAAATATTAAATCCCCATGAATAAATCCATATACCAGGTGTGTGCAAATATTGTATGAAGTGTATAAATTACGTTCTCTTGGCTTTTAAACCCCCAAAAACTCGATTTGTCTCTAATTAAAAACCTAAATTTACAAATTATGTTTATGAATCAACTCGTCTAGCCTCAAACTAGAACATGAAATTACATTTGGGTTTAATTCATAAACCCGGTAAAGTTGCATGTTAAAATGAAACGGAGTAGCCTACTACAGAACCATATACAAAATTGTAAACTCTACTTAGGATAACAATACATGATCGGCGAACTATCTGAGCAAAAAATGAACGTTGAATACCACGAACAAATCAATAAGTTAACAAAACAATCAATATTGAACGTTGAATAGCACTAACCATTCAATAAGGGCCTGCGCTACAGACAAGCACACCTGTTCGCTCGCCGTGGTTACGCGCGAACGCCTAGATGTAAACCCAATCGAGCGTATCTAACTGCCTGATGGTGTAATTATCTACAAAACGTAGTAGCAATAGTAGCATGGCGAGTGTTGAATGGAATAACTGAGAAAATCACTGAATGGAACGTCGTGGCTACCTGGTTACGCCGTTGAGCTACGGTTGGGATTGTCAGAAATATAGTTGGAGAATTGATTGGGGTAAAACTCCATAACAACAATTATTGTTATGTGTCTAACACCTGTTGAACATTTACAATTCATTTACGTGTTTTGAACTTAAAACTACTAGTGGCTTGTAGGGACATAGGTCCCTAAAAAGCTTAAATTTAAAACTATGTTCCCAACTTTTATTTTAAGATATTAAAATCTCATTTTTATTGTTTCAGAACCGTGGAGTCTCGGCTGAAAGAACACTACCTACCGCCTATCTCGAACATGAAAAAGAGTATCTGCTTGGCCACAAGTGACATTTTTCTCATCTATGAAACTATAGTTCAACTACAAAATTAAAGAAATAGTTGACAGTGTTGCCAACTTTTAACCAACCCTGACGTGTATGAAGGAGGAATACTAAGATGAAGCAAAGTATGCTGTCATCTCGGAGCAAACTCTACAACATCAAAGAGGAATTCAAAGCTCAAACAAAGTATGTTGTCATCTTGAAGCAAACTCTTCAACATCAAGGAGGAATAAAGATCAAGAAAAATGTTGTCATCTTGAAGCAAACTCTTCAACATCAAGGAGAAAATACAAAGATCAAGCCAATTATGTTGTAATCTTGAAGCAAACTCTTCAACATCAAGGAGGAATAAAGATCAAGAAAAATGTTGTCATCTTGAAGCAAACTCTTCAACATCAAGGAGAAAATACAAAGATCAAGCCAATTATGTTGTAATCTTGAAGCAAACTCTTCAACATCAAGGAAAAGTACAAAGATCAAGCAAAATGTTGTCATCTTGAAGCAAACTCTTCAACATCAAGAAGGAATTCAAAGATCAAGCACAGTATGTCGTAATCTTGAAGCAAACTCTTCAACATGAAGGAGAAGTACACAGATCAAGGAAAATGTTGTAATCTTGAAGCAAACTCTTCAACATCAAGGAGAAGTACACAGATCAAGGAAAATGTTGTAATCTTGAAGCAAACTCTTCAACATCAAGGAAAAGTACAAAGATCAAGCAAAATGTTGTCATCTTGAAGCAAACTCTTCAACATCAAGGAAAAGTACAAAGATCAAGCAAAATGTTGTCATCTTGAAGCAAACTCGTCAACATCAAGGAGGATTAGAAATGATAGTCATCCTAAAGAAAGTTTTTAACGTCAACAATGAAAACAAGAGCATTTTTCAAAGAGTGTTTGCATCTTGAAGCAAACTTTCCTCTGTTATAGCTGATGAAGACATCTTTACCTCAATGGTGGTTATTTGAGATTCCTACCTCTTCAAACTCGAGCAAGAAGATAATGTTGACGGAGAAAAATGGGGATCAGAAAAGATTCAGGAACATCCAATTAAAATCGCAGAAGATATTTGGATCACACAAAGACCTGAGAATCTTCACGAAAGGAGGTCAAACAGAAGACTCTTCTCTACATTTAAATGTAAGAACTGTCAGGCAGAGGGGCAGTCAAATATAACACTTAAATAGGCGTTGATTTAAGTCAACTTTTACAAAATGGCGAAGTTAGTCTAGAACACAGCGGTTTTAAAATTTGAGTGAACAACTATAGATTAGTTGTCGTTTAGCACATTTAAAGAATGTTTGATACTATTTGTTTTGCTGTGCAAACACTGTAATTGAATATTAATCAATGCATTGATGTAAACAAAGATTTGTTAGACGACAATATTAATACGTAATATCGTAAAAAGATAGCTTAAAAGTTTTTCTTATTATGTTTTATTTAAATTATCAACAGTGGAGGTAGTAGTATACATGTTACTATGTTAAGCAGTAAATCTCTATAACGTTAAATACATTACATAGTAGCATAAGTTAAGTCGAAAACACGATTTAATGAGTTTTGTAAATTTTTTAGTGTGAACACTGAACATTCTAGCCTATACGTTCTTATTCAGCAGATCTACTACATTGTAATTAACGATTGAAATAGTTAAAGAGGTATTTGGCAAATAGTCTCCGATTGAAATATTTAAAAATTTTCAGCACACACAAATTAGTTAAATACATTGAAATGTTTTCTTCACGCACACAAATAAATGAAATATTAACGTATATCCACGGATAAAGCAGAGCAACCACGACTGGACGAGTTTTTCACCTCATTATACCGGTGTGAGGCGACTCTGAGAGTTGTCCGGTGAAAAAGAACACAAGTTAGCAGTAGACAGAGCAGGTGGTGCGACCTGCCTACACTGTCCACAACTACCGCCCCGCCGAGAATAGGCAGAACAGTAGCTGTGGAAAATATTGACACCATCCACGTAAAAACTGTATTGATCATGAACATAAATACCCCCGCCGCAGCAAACCTGCAGACTAAGCGAATTTCCATTTCCCTAAATACACTAAAATGTCTCCTTAAAATTATCACATTTATTCCCTATTTAAATAGAATCAGTTTAAGACATACTTAGGTTTGCTGCAACAGGGAGGGTAAAAGTGTTTTTTATGTAAAATGTTAATAGTTAGTAAGAAATAAAAACATTTTCCAAATTTGGGCAAAATATGTTTATAAACAAGCAAACTACAACAGTTTACTTATTCTCCATAAGAATAACATAGGAATTTTAAATTTACAATTTACAATTTTTTGAAATTTTTTCCGTAACCATTAGGCGCATTATAACGCTTCAATATACTAAATTATTTGTTTTTTTAAGCTCTACAAAATAGTTTCGAAAGAAATTGCAAAATTTTATGTTTTTTGGGTCAAAAATGGGAAAAACCCATTTTTACCCCATAAAAGCCCCCATAAACCCCCGTTCCCATGGTCCGATCATGCTGGTTCGCGAACTCGTTCGAATAAACGTAGGTTTACACGTTTGTACCAAATTTCATCAAAATCGGATCATTTTTGCTCGAGTTATCGCGCTAACGGACATATATATATATATATATGAATTTGAAGGGATGGTGTTTTTGACCTCTAGGGACCTCAAAACGAAAAAAAATCGGTCCCGGGTCCAGGTCTTACCGTGAGTACTACGGTAATAGCTTATTCCCTATATGGGAAATTCGCTAAAAATGAAGTCATTGCCCAAAAATTAAACATATTCGTAATATGGACACAAAAATCGTCCTAACCATCTGTTACAGCTATTACATTAGTATAAGATTCGGTCCAGCGACGTCATTTGCTCGTTTATGATACATACAGTTTATGTTATAGTATCCGTTCTGACATAATCTTCTTTAAGTTTTTCGCTATTTTATTTTATTAACGTAGGATACATCTAGATTAATGATACATAGGACATGAGGAGTGTACTACAGTAAAGATTCTACTTTGTGCGTTATTTTTTGCATATATTCAAAAGAACATGTATTTAATTCACTGGGGGATATAAATAAAAAAAAAATTCTAAGTAAGAAATGTATTTAAAGTTTTGCACGATTGTTGGTCCTGTTTCGAGCACAAACACTTGGGGAAACTCAATAATGGCGCATTTTACATTTAAACCCCCCGCTCCCACACAAAAAGCAATTGCTTTCTTAAAAAGAAAATATATTTTCTAAAAATTTCAAACCCTTACTAAATCTGTAAGGGACATAAAATTTGATGAGGGCGAATGTCTACGTCTTAATTTGTTAAGGAATGTATAAAAAATCAAATTTCAAAAAATTACCCATTTGAAAATTTTTGAACATGTGGATATAGACGCCTGATATGAGATGGTGAATATAACATAAATCTATAATTAAGATTAGCATATTTTTTCGTAAACTTAATACAACTACGAGACTAGTTTATATTCATCGCAGAATTGGCAAAAGACTTCAATAGCTTTATTTTTTTATTAATCAATCACTTTACTTAATTTAGGTATCGAAAAATGGTTGAACATACATATACAATTAATTGTTTCATTATTTGATAAAAATGTGAAATTTTTACTAATTCAACATTCAATTAAGCGAACATTAGTTTCAGTGTAAGATATGCATTAAAACACAAAAAAGACATTAATATATTTTGTCTCTGAAGGCAATGATTCCCAATCATAGTAATATTTTATTATTATTTAAAAGCATACATGGCTTTATGTATTTTATTTATAGCATACACAGTACCTCAAACAAAAATATTACATGAGATTATAGATCACAGCTTATAGATTCAATATACAGCGTCCTTTATTTAAAAGTGAAAAAATGTAATTTATAAGACAATTTACAAGATGACTTTTTTCATCGTAACTAAAAAATCTGTTATTTAGTAGGCCTTACTGCATAATTTATTTTTTAAGGTTTATTAGGCAAGGATTTAAACATGTATTATTCAGGCCTAAGTTAAAACAGTATAGTCAAATTCCTGTTACCAAGTATTAAATCGTATTTTTCATTTTATTGTATGTTTTATTGTAATGTTTATTGTGCATAACTTTAAAAGTGTAATTTGTAATACAGTTCTACAATGGTATGTCAACATTTTATGTTAAAATTGTATTTCTATTCCCTAAAATTTCAATATTGTAACATGGTTAGTTTGGATATTTATTATTTCCCTTATTTCCAGATAACAACGATTGCTGATTGGCTGCATCTGGCAGGTACGTAACAAGTGGTCGCTAAGAGGGTTTTCATAAAAAAAATTAAAATTTTAAAAATAGACATATTTCAATTTTTACTCAACTTTTTAAGTATTAAAATACTCTATTGCAATGATGTTAGAATTATGATAAAATTGAAATAACCTCTGAACTAAAAATACTTTTTTATACCCTTAAAAATGAACATTTCGTTGAATGAGGTTACGTTATCATTGAAAAATTAAACATAATAATATCTGTGGAGATAGGTTTCCATAAATGTTAATAATATAATTTTTTAAAGTAATTTTAAAATATTTAACATTTTAATCATTGTAATAAGGTGTATAAATTGCTGAACAATCTAGTGTGTGGTACAATATTTTAGTGATAATGTCAAATTTTTAGTTATTTAACTATATTTTATTTGTAAAATTGTATATTCACGCAAAAAAAGAAAATTATTTCCAAAGTAAATACTATTTACGGGTAGACCAACAGAAAAATATAAGCTATGTGTATACTAGAAAGTGTAGATAAATTTAAATTTAAAATTAGATTAATCAGTGTTAATTATAAAGGAGGGGTACATAAGCAAAATAAATAAATAAAATATTGGCATGTCCCATCAAAACATACTGATAATCAGAATGTATTTAAAATTACAAGATTAGGGCTATAATAAAGCCATTTTGTAAGCATATAACTATACACGTTATATTTTCTTTCGAAATGGCGAAGAGTGTGCAACGAATTTTAAATAGTTATGTTTAGTTTTTGACAACAAACTATAGGCATTAATATATATACAGTATTGCATATACGTTTCATAACTTATATAGGAGATATATTGGATATATAACTTATTTCGAGAGTGGTCAATTAATAATGAAATGCATAACTAAATTTAAATGTTCAACAAGGCCAATATATAATAAATTGTTTTATTCACAAGCGCTTTCGGAAACTAAGTTTCCATCGTCAGGCTGTGTGTGGAACTTTCAAAGTTTGCACACACAGAGAATATAAGTAGGTTGTATTGTTTGATAAAATAATAGCACGAGGTTAACTCACTAAAACGGACAGTAAAAATTTATGAGACTGGGGAAGAAACATGCGGTACATAAGTGTGCATACAAAAACACGAAATAATAAAATTCAAAGAGGCAAGCGTACTAAATTCTTATCAAAGCCTTATTTACCGGATTAAGTGAGGCAAAAAACGGTAATGGAGAATTTGTAATTTAAGGACGCCATTATGAGTTGTATTTAAATATTGAATCGGTATTCAAAAGATACTGCTAAGTGTGTTGCTTAAAAATGTAGTTTTTTTACACACCAACTTCTTTTAATCTTGGCAATTTTAAAGGGCACCCTATCGTACGCTAGGCATTTTTTATGTGCCAATCAACACTATAAAACATTATGTATCACAAGACCGAAAGAGATTAGACGACAATACGAACAATTAACAAGCGTTTTATATGGGTAAAACATGTTTTATTTGATAAATTAAAAATGAAAGAGATACGGATGAGGTTAACATTTAAAGTTTTGGAAACACAAAACCTGTAAAATGATTTGACAATATTTGACACATATTGGGTATTTGAATTTTTTTGAGTTTTGGCTATAGCTTACACTATATAGGCCTACTAGTATATTTGCAAAAAATACTTTTTTCAGAAATATTCGTTTTCTGATATTGTTATAATATTGCACATCAAGTTAAAGCTTGCATCAAAAGAATTGTGGAATTTAATTGGAGTAGAGATCTATTTTTTTCAACAAAAAAATAAGAGCATTACATTTTTTATATATTAGCCACAATTTTGAAAAGAGTAAAAATAATCTACTTCTGATAGTCCTAAAATGTTTGTAATAAATAGAGCTTTAAAATGATTTATAATCATATAACAAACAAATAGAATATTTGCTAGAATTTGAAATTCTGACATTTGAACTAGTGGACCTCATTTTTCGGGAAATACTTTATTTTAAAACATAAAAAAAATTACGTTACCTCTCCCTAGGGGGGTTAGTGTTGATAATTGTATTTCATCATTGTAGTTAGTTGTAGGACCAACGGGTTCTTAAAGCTGGAGTGAACACAATATTCTTTCTCAACGTTTAATTGGTAGGGATCGGTCTCTATAATAATGAAAATTAAAAATCTAGCACAACATTACTATGTCCCCTTGCACTCGCGTTTGCACATATCACAATCGTCAAGCATGTGACGCGGCTAATAGCTGTTTAGATCGTAAGACTTCTGACCTGAAAACAATAGGTTAAAGCCACGCCAATCGCTAATGGCTTTTCACTATGGTCCAAAGCTCGTCCAAGGCTGAAGGACCCTAGAAATCCAAAATGGACAAACCTCTGTGGCGAAACCTTCATCTGTACAAGAACCTAATTCAATCCAAAGCCTTTCGGAAACTTGATTTCGATTTCAAAAAAATCATAAATATGTTAAGCATATTACTAAGAACAGTATCGTTGCTACTGAGAGAAGCGTCAGGGATTGTGACCCAATATGTAAATACTCGCTAGTATGCGAATACGCAACTACTGCATTGCAACCGAGCATTACACTCACAAAGCTTTCTCAGTTGATTGTAATTTACTTTCCGTCGACAAGGTTACTTTGCGCATTGGTCATCACGGAAGATGTATTCCGAAGTGAAACCATCCGATGTTTACAAAACTTAAATTTTACATCGCAATAGTCAAGTAGGCCCACAACGTAAACTATTTGAAACGAAATATTGCTCAGTTTCCAGACAAACTCAGTTAAGATTACATTGAAATGTAACTATTTGTGTGTGTAATTTTTCGTCTAATTAAAGATATGTGTAAACAATTAATTAAGCATGATGTTAAATTTCAAAATCAGTCAAATTCCATTTCATTATAAGAGTACGGGATATAATTCACTTGGTTGCAATTTCCCCCTTTTATGAAGCTTCTGTTGATTATTTTACCTATTCTCGACTTAGGTTGTATTCTATAGTGGTAAAATTGTTGTTTTCCGCACTTACAAAACCACAAGATATACCAACCAATTTCAGTGTCTCGATTCTTACAAAAAGTAAACATCTTACAAACTATTTCCCAGTTACTATTACTAACTATACTATTCCTCTAACCAAATTTTAATTCGATCTCTTTCACAATCAATATTTAAAACCCCAATATTTTCCCAAACGCCTCATCATTACTCATAACCGCTCAGATCTTATCCAAACGATTTCGAAATCAACATCAACAGAGTGGTTAGCCCCAACAAATGGTCCCACGGAGCGGCTGTCTTCGCCGTTTAAGATTAGGGGGTCTGAAAGTTAGTAGAACTAATTGGTAGCAAATACGGCGGAGGGGGGCTTCGCCCACCTGGGTGAGTCATGGTAGACCTCCTACACTCGGCCCACGGTGCGGCGCCTGGTGTAGGGGGGCTCGGCCCTGCTGGCTGACCACACGATTAGGCAACTCCTCAAGGATACAACGACTTTCCTCTAGAGCTACAGGCGGAGAAAATTGCGTTTTTCATTTACAACATCAGCTGTTTTGAATGTCAGTTTTGCTAACTTTATAATTTTGCGCATTGAAATATTTGTAATAACGTGTTTTTGTGCTTGACATATTTTCTCTAGGTATAGGCCTGCTCTAGAGTTAAAATGTGCTACTCACGTTTAAAACGTGTTTTGTTCATGGCTACAACAGTTTGCTAACATATTTAGTCACCAAACTATGTATACAATAAAGATTGATACAAAATCCGTTGGAATATCAAAATGGAAACAAATACTAAAAACTAAGTACCTATTGGTAATTTGGACATAGGTGCGGGAACGATGGATTAAATTCCAGACCTGTCCACAAAATTCGGAATGGTTGGACTTGTAAAATTCATGAGTTACGTTATTCTTCTACATTACATTTGCAAATACAGTATAACATTTTGATTGAATTAGATTATTGTGTAATAATAACTCAAGCCTCGTTGAGTTTTAAAACCTACATAAGTCGGTTTTACCCTATACCGTGCATCTACCTTTACTTGAGTACAGTACGTTATTATTTAAAATATTAAAATCCTAGAAACAATTTAAGATTTATGAACATTATTACCTAACGTCTCCTCATTAGATTTACTTATTCACAGCTCAAAGTAAAAAATTACTCATTTCAAAAATTAAATTCGACTTAGTTCACGAATGGCACATATTTTACTCAACCGGTAAACTAAATCACATTCTTCGCTAAAAGGGACGCCGCTTGGCGCGAGAAGCAGCGTTTTTGGCGGGAGTTGGGTCGGAGTTCACATTACTGCCGTATAAGGTGGTTTAATGAGCTCCAAGCAGTCGTGTACCACTCATTAGTAATCTGGTGTCAAGAATATATATCTAGCGGAACAATGTCCACCAGCGGCTGGAGCCATCATAAAACTCTCCTTCACATTCCAACGGCGAGATCCAGATAGAGCTCCGAAACATATTTTCGGAGCAGTGCCTTCTAAAAAAAGATTAACAAGGATATTTTAAATAAATTAACTTTTCAGTAGTCAATTTACCGGTAATGTTTTTAAAATATAGTTTCGATAATCAAATTTCAAAGATTAATAGTCAAACTAAAGAATACATTATTCTGTACATAAGAGTAACACATAAGTCCGCAACTCATTTTCTTATCGGATATTAAAACTATTACGAAATCCTTTACTCAGAACCATATCCAAGGAAAATTCAAATTCAATTGTTATAAGGGTTTCACAAAATACAAAGCGTAATTTAATAGTATTAAATTAATAGTAATTTAAAACAATACACCTTTTTTGTACAACGATTGAAATTATGTGAGTTTTAATGTTCTCACTCAACACGATCAAGTTGACATTTAACCAAGTAAAGTTTCTTGTCGAGATGAATCAAGTTGCATAAACGTTTGCCGTCTTTACGAAGGCGTTTGGACTAGGCTAGGCGCTGTGATACAGATCAAGAAACAACTGTCAAGCTAACACACTTTAAAACTCAATCAAAACCTTCATGATGGTCACTTGTGATTATGATGCAGCACTCAACTAATGGACAACGTCTATGAAATTTTAACATAAATCTGACAACTATAATTCCTACTGTTTATGGTTGATTAATACGGGTTCTGTGCAGTTGAAGATATTTATTCTCTATTTTTACTTTAGTAATGAAAGTATGTATCAAATCTTAAATTTAAAAAAAAAGGATATAGAGTTTGCTTGACCAACACAGTGACAATATATTGATGAAATAAGTTAAGGCCATTTGCGGCTGAACACTGGACCTTAAGAAACCTTAATATTGGCCGGTTAATGTCAGTTGTTGGAATTTAAAAGTAGTACAAAATATACAGGGAAACGACTATATTTTATTGTAAATTGACTAGTTTGATGGATTTTGTCACTTAAACGTATTTAAATCTAAAAAGTCATTTTATTTATTGAATAAACAACACTAAAACTTAATAAAAACTATCCAAAATCTCCATTTATTGGACCAACTTTATCAATCTACCGTTACATTCGGTTAGGTTAAGTAGTAAAGGAAGACTACGGGAAAATAGACCACGTAGATTCTTTCTTTTTCCTCCGTTAAAACTATTGACAGATTTCTGGGCGTTAAGGAAATTTTAAGTCAATGCACGGGAAGTTCATCCACACACGAAGGATCTATAGCACTATTTAGTATTGAAGTAGCCTATTCATGAATTTCGACTCTCCACGGCCTTATTTTTTTTACCCTAGAAAAAATTTTAAAGAAGTTGTCACAATTATCAAACATCTTATCACTTCGGTAAAACAGTCCAACCCCATTAAATGTTTGTGAACAAGTCGGGAATCGAACCCGTTGCCCTAGCACCAAAATCATCCAAGGCTAGCGTTACACCCACGGTTCAAGTCTATACTTTGTGACGAGGTACACAGTTACCAGTATGACTGGGTTGCCACGAGTTTCCCGACTGACCCTCGTCGTGTAAGTATAAGGTTTCCCCGGGTGTGTCGGGACTACGCCCCCGCGGTCCACGGACACTCGTCCCTCGGCCCGCCTCTCTGACGAAACATGCCCGCTTGCGTAACAGGCTGGAAAACCTCAAGAGGATGAAACCCTCCTACTTCACTACTTTACCACATCTGATTTGATTATTTCGAGGCAATTTATAAATTGTAGACAAACTTCCAACAGAAAAGCTGCCTACTAATTTTGTTAGCTAATTTTAGTATAATTTATTCCAAAGTGTCATTGTAATTTTAGCTTTGAATTTACAATTTGAAATTACAAACTGAAACACAGCATGGGTTTGTTAAAACTTCCTACATTAAACTTGTTTAGTAAAAAAAAAAATTTTAACAGTGTAAACACTTATTGCTTGTGATGTTTAACGATTAATTTTTTTTCATCAATAAAGCCATGATTGGAATGCGTTTAGGGTGCTGAAAAAGGAACATTTAAAATCAGGAATGGTCCGAAATCAAAATATGCCGTGCTGAAGTAACTCGAACTGGCCATAATAATCTCGTTTCGGAGCTGTGGACGATGTGAATTTCATATTTGAATCAAAAGACGAGATATGCGACACTCCTATCTAACCGCGATCTTGAAAGCAACCCAATACACAAAAGTGTATCAGCAAAGTAGTACTGTGACGACTGAAAAAGGTAGACTTGTCAACAACTAGAACGTTTACTAAGTTTACTTAAGTCATATCACCATTTCAATAAACGAAAAGAATCTCTTTAGCAACGAATTGAAGCCAATGTAAGAGAAAAAGAGGATCAGCAATCTAGTCCTATAGTTACGAATCGAAAAAGGCACACTTGTCGATGAACTGTCTAACTATCACCGGTTCTCTAAAGAAACCATCAACACGTCACGTCCAACGACGTTTTCGTGAGCACAATAAGAAGATGGGTAACGTATAACAACCATTGTGTAGTACTGTATTGAATCAAGAGCGGAACAAATTTTGTTTGAAACATCTACTTCTACTTCTACTTATATCACCTGGTACTTCACGAACCAAAATCACTAATTTTAACTCATTTATCACTTTCACAACCACTCTGCACCTTCACTAGTATGGACGGTAGAGTGTAGAGGCAAGGAGGCAGGGCCAAGGCGAGATTTATTATTTGTTTACAACGGCGACAGTCAACAGTGGTTGCAGGTGGATCGCCCACCCGCCCACGGACCTCTGGGGCGAGGCCTTACATGGAGTGATGACGCATACATACACTAACCACTAACCTAGTGCCAACGGTAACGTACTCATCGTCGTCATAGCTACGTCAGTAGAAACATTTAAAGTTTCTGAAAGGGGTTGGTTGTCTTTTTACATGTAACGTCAACGAAGTAGAATAGCATCAATAGCCTTTTGCTTAGTTTTTCTGTGTCAGAATCCATCAATCTTTTCAGCATCAACTGCGTTGTCAGAACAAATATTACTGAGGATATTGGATTAAATATACGACACTGACGCATTAGTTGCATATTTTAAGGCAATTATGAGTGAAAGATAAGTGATGAACAGGTGATATTGTTGTTACTGACTAAAATCAGCTGGTACAGCTAGGGACTATTTTTTAACAGTCCTATCTAAACACCAAAACAATCTAAAACCTTCTGACTGGACCTACTTCTGAGCGAGTACTATTTTCACTCAGCAATCCGGTTTTACTAAAGAACTAATTAATTTAATTGGTTTTTATTATATCAGAATCCATTGCTATTCAGCAACAATCGGAATCCTTTTAAGGGAAAAATCTAAGCTACTGAGGGATGCTATTTCAAATTTGGTCAAACTTCTGACATTAAATACTATGTGCATCTATAGATTCAATAGCCTATTTAGTATTTAGTGTATTCGTCTAGGGAGATTTTTGAGCTAAAGCAAATTTATTTAATTTAATGCAACTCTATACATTTTACCGATTAGAAGCTACAACAACCCAAGGTAACAGGTCGCAGTGTTATCACACATGGAAAATTGCAATTGGTGTTTCATATGGTTCAAAGTTGAGCTTCGCGACGCTTTAATTATGGGTTTATTTATTTCTCCAATTGAATCTGAAATGTTTCAAGAAGGTTTTGCGTTAGCTACAGTATTACAAAAAACTACAGTATTACCAAACGTACTATGCTCTAGCACCAGAACAGCCTAGCTCTAGCTCAATGACAACTGAATTTTTGTATTTGCGAATTTTGGTTTGGCATTTAAAACACCTTGAAGTTGCTACTAGTTCAAAATAGTTGAATTGAAGGGTGTCACACAATTCCTACTACATTACTTAGGTGCTTGAAACAGTCTACAGTATTTAACGTTTGGGTTATAATTTTAAGCGTAAATTAATGTGAAATTTGTTTTGTACCAGCTGACCTCAATAAACTGACTAGTATAAATTACCACAGCTGTTTCCATTGTTGCATTGTTGTTGAAAACAATAAGTTGACTAAATAGAATATTGGCTATATTCCATTAAGTAAATTTAAGGAGCTTCAAATAATATCATAGCATTATCTCATTTTCTGTTCTATGTTATTGTCTTAAAGGTATACTAATTATGATTTAGTATGTTCAAACTACTTTTTACGGTACAGTAGTTTTATGCTGTTTAAAGTAATTTTCCATCACTACCAAAGAGATGTATTTCAAATAAATGCTAGTAAGTTTGTCTAAAAAAATTTAACTGTGGCAATATCAAGGTATCTCAATTCAGTTTGATAGGTCTACATCAACGACGCCTTTAATGGAAGTATTTTGGTGAATTTAATTAAAAAGGACAAATAAATATAATTTAAAATGTTAAACCCACATAAGATTGTACAGTCTTTTAAAACTAATATGTTATTATTAAAAAAAAAAAAAACAGATTGTGCTTTTTTATCTTAAATTCATTTAGTTTTATTTCGTTGTAGTAATAATACTAATAATTAAGTAGGTACATTAGTACAGTATGTAATAATTAATATTTCTTTTAAGAAGACCCTTCTAGGGTTTAGGAATTTTTTTTACTGATACAATATGCTAAATAAATCATACCGACTAAATTGGTTTAGAAGAAATATTAAAAACACTATAGTTTTGTTGCAAAAGCAATTCAACACATCCTTACGGCAAAAGATGCAAATTTAATGTCAAGTAACAAATGTCAGTAACTTCTAATATAGCAAGACATAATCAACCAGACGTTGTAAATTGGTTCCCCTGAATCAAAAGTAAATTCAAATTATGTGAAAGTAAACAAAATAAATTGAATCTATATTAAATTTGGATCTCTAAGTAGGTAATGGTTAGATATGGTTAAATAAATTATTATTAAGCTTGCATTGTGCCTTTTATTATTTTAAATTTATATCTAAAAAATCATTCTGTTACAGGTATTAAGAAGAAACCGATCTCAAAGAAGCCAGCTCATGTAAACCACACTGTTGTATTTATAAGATAATTTCCAAATATTCATGTCATTATTTGTTATCATTGTCTCATTCTGCTTGAATTCATTCATGTTATTTATTCAATAAGTGAAAACCAATAAACAAATAAAATGTATGAATTGTTATTCCTTGTCCTATTACATTAGATGCCTGACAGTTAGTAGTTGAATTCTCTTAAACAGATCTACCTTGCATTATTGTCGAGAAATATAATTATAACCATTTAGAAAAAATAACTTATTTGTGTATTATGTTTGATTAATTTATAAAATATTACTGCTGATGGCTATTTATTGCTCCAGCTAGCATTAATAAAATATTATTTGACTTAAAAACTGAACCCCTGACCTAGGAAGAAAACTAATTTATTGTCAATATAAAATAAAAATCTATAATCTCATGTAAATAAAAAGTATTTTTATTGACATATCAAATTAGTTTAGATATTTTCAAATATAGAGAAGTATTTGTAAAGGGCGAAAATACTTAAAACATATTGGAATTTATTTGAAATAAAATTGAAAAATACACCTTCAAAATAGCCACTAAATTAAAAAAATTGAAGCCTTTTAAGTTGAAGTTTTGAAAGATTTTGAAATTATTTAAAAATCAGTCAAAGATTACTTTGTTACATTAAATGGATATCATATAAGTCGAGGATTATGTACTGTGTAAGCTTTGCTATGAATCCTAGACCTCGATATATAACTATGTAGTTATATATCAATGTCCTAGACAAGACCAAAAAGTTAGCAAACAACCTCACAAAAATTATTCAATCTAGATATACTAATTTGTCCTTCTTGCTAATAGCTTAATCAGATTATCAAGAAAAGTAACAACATTTTGAGTTAAATTTTATGTCATATCAATGCAGACTTCATTATATTCATTCCTCTTTCAAATTATGCTAAATATTTGTCAAATATATTCCATATGAAACTTTTAATGAACAGTTTAATTTTAATCATATTATGCAGTGTTCATATTATATTCTCCAAAATAATATTTTGATTTTCACTTGGTTAAATTCATTTCATTAAAAAAACTGTATGTAATATCTTTAACAATTAACATATATAACTTCAGTATCCAATAGTCAATGGTAATATGGTGATAACTAGTTTCCAGAGCGTATTTTAATGTTATATGGACAACTCATTCTGCATTTATTTTGCTGGGGCTTTAAACACAGCCTTCACCGCACCACAGCACATATTATGCAGATATATATATATATTTTTTAATAACTACTGTTGTAGAAAATTAATTTAATTATTTCAAGAGGCATTATAGACGATATTGATGACAAAAATCTTCTTTCTTCTTTCTTCTCTAACAACAATCAACAACCACTGCATCACTTCTTAAACTACAACACTTCTAGAATCTAAACCACCTTCTAAAGAACCATACTGGTATTAGTGTTACCATTCAGATAACTACTAATTCTCCATTGAATTAACTTAATTTGTTGTAATAATATTGTCAAGAATGCATGGAGATATATTTTAAGTTATCATCTTCAAGTATTTCTATCCCAAAAGGGGATGATTTTTCAGCGTTGGTTATTATTTTCTTTTAAAAATATATAATGTGATTGAGCACTCTTTTCAAACTATATAGCATTCAAAATCTCAAACTTTACCACAACATTGAAAAGCCACACAACACAGAGGCATAAGCTAAATCTTCAAAACACTAAAAATATTCAAAAACTACCATTTCGACAAAAGTCGAAACCATCAACATCATAATGCATGCTTGGTATAGTATTGCATGAAAACTAGAGTAGCAGGTGCTAGAAGAAACTGGAATTAGGTAAAAATAGTTATATTTATTATAAAACAATTAGTTAGTAATAAAAACATAGTTGATTTAGCGTCGCAGATCTGGACGAGACGAGAGGAATTGTACATAGCACAACGCCAGACTAAAGCTACGTTACTATGGTACATAGATACAACATTTTACACTTGCCACCTCAGAACTCCGCCTGCAGGAACTTGGATTGTACAATGGATAAAGTGGATTGTAGAGAAAATATTGTAAAAGCTAAATTGAAAGCTGTGGAAAATGTATGAAAATTATCTTTGCAAAAGTTACAGTATTAAAATTTAAAACAACAAAAATTATTTGCTACAACAATTTTTCCAGACACAACTAATCAAAAGGTACAAACCTATGATATAATGCTTGTCTCAAGCTGAACGTATATAAATCTTTTTTATACTTAAACCTCAATAAAAATTCAATACTAAAAAGATTTTAATTTAGTAAAAAAAATGCAATGAAAACATTGAATAAGAAATAATGATGCAATGGTTATTATGGCACACATGAACTTATGGCACAGAATGGAACAGATATTTACAGAAGACGGGTGGCAAGTGGACAACACAATACAGAATATGACATACAGAATCTGCGGCCTGCGCAGCTATAAGTATCCACAACAGCTTCTGCACAAGGTATGACACCACAAAGTAAATCTTTTGAATAAAAACTAAAAATACGAACCAAAGAAAAATCATGCATTGTAGTTTTTTAATTTTATTTTAAGCACCAACAACACATTTTAAAGACTCAAATTTAATGTTAAATCGAACAAAATTTACCAAAGAGCTACTTACAACCTATACTTTATATACGGTAGCAAAAATATAGGACATGAAGAAAAAATGTATATTTCACAAATTTATAACTTTTCTATTTAATAGCTTAGTATTCAACAAAAGTGGGCATATTATCTGGTATGTTTGGTCAAGGTAAAACTGTGAATGTAGATTATTTTATCATTATTTTTTTAGAACTTGCGTTCATTTGATGATCTTGGATAATTTACTTCAGAGATAGTTAAAAAAAAAACTCTGAATGTGTTTTAGTAATACTTTAATTATGTATTTGCTTAAATCCTAATACTTTCATTAAATATTTTCTATTGGACTTGTTTAAGTTTAATGCCAGAGAGACTTGAAAGAACTAAAGCTAAGATTTAAATTTGTTTCTTCTTGTCAGCTTCAATGATATTAAGAGCACGAGAATTCAGTAAAAGGACACATAAGTAGGACTAAGATGCACATACAGTTATCATTGCAAAATAGATTTGTTGAAAGCCAGAAAAAAACTAATAGCATATATGTATATGCTAACAAGCAATTCAATGTGTTATTTGGCCATAAAGAGTCATGGTCATGACTTTTCTTTAGTTTCAATAAGTACTACACTTTTCACACCCAACACAAAAGCTAGTTGTGGATACAGAGAACAATATACATCAAACATCAGCAAATACAACGCAAACATGCTGGGGAGAATTGTACACACCCACTCAGTGCGGAAATATAAACATCACTATATAAATAAACGATTCAATAAATATTAACAAAATTACGTCTAATAAATAAATATTTATTTACCAGTCTAAGTACGCTATATTTTGAATATCGAGTATACTCTGTGAGTATTCAGAGAGCTGTTACGTTCTTATCACAGACAAGTAAAACTTCTGCACCTAGTAATGTCGAGTATCGAGAACCGAGAGAGAAGGAACGGTCGAGAGATTAGTTCCTGTTACTGAACCGTTCCAAACAATATCCAGATTCATGTATCACCTCTTGAATGTATGACTAGCATGGCGGCACACTTGTTAAAATGTTAATTTTACTAAGTGTTACTTCAAACTAAATCTACTTGTTTAGGAATTTTGTTAGCTGTGTTACTTCACAATGACAGTGTGATGAACAGAATAATGCTTTCAAATATTGAACTGCATTTTGCTTTTAATTACAGTTTCTGATGTATTCGAGGCTAGAGGCCATTAATATACTTGTCTCAGACACAATTTACTTTTGATTTAAATTAGAAAAAGTAATTATAATTTACTAAATTACGTTTAGTGTGGTTTCATCCTCAGTGTACTTGGAAAAATCAAAAAGAACTTATTTTATAAATATGATAAAAACACTTTTCAGTATCATAATTTAAAACGTACTGTAAAACCTATAATAACTGTCACCCATAGAACTGGGACTATGATAACAGAAATTCCTTTATAAATGACTATAGTTGGTTAGGAAATTTCCAATGGTTTTGGAAAGAAAGAACACAAATGAATTAAACATAGGCTAGACCTAGAATGGTTGTATTTACAGTATTATCGTGGACTAAATTATTTTAAAAGGGCTGCGTGGAATAATCGTACAAATAATAGTTGAAAGAGTGACAGTTAAGAGGTTCAATGTACCAATAAATGAAGTTTTTGTTGTAAAAACCACTTAATTTTCTCGATATTTCTGAACATTTACAATGAAGTAATCAGACAAAGTCTAAAATATTCAATTTAGAGGCTACCATGAATCTGGATGTAGACACTGAGTGGATGCGTACTAGTGCATGTGAGGATGAGAGGTGGGATACGGACTGGGACATTGCTGCTGATACCCGGAGCTCAACATAGGTCCCGGACTGGAGCTAGTAATATCATAGTAATATTTTATTATTATTTAAAAGCATACATGGCTTTATGTATTTTATTTATAGCATACACAGTACCTCAAACAAAAATATTACATGAGATTATAGATCACAGCTTATAGATTCAATATACAGCGTCCTTTATTTAAAAGTGAAAAAATGTAATTTATAAGACAATTTACAAGATGACTTTTTTCATCGTAACTAAAAAATCTGTTATTTAGTAGGCCTTACTGCATAATTTATTTTTTAAGGTTTATTAGGCAAGGATTTAAACATGTATTATTCAGGCCTAAGTTAAAACAGTATAGTCAAATTCCTGTTACCAAGTATTAAATCGTATTTTTCATTTTATTGTATGTTTTATTGTAATGTTTATTGTGCATAACTTTAAAAGTGTAATTTGTAATACAGTTCTACAATGGTATGTCAACATTTTATGTTAAAATTGTATTTCTATTCCCTAAAATTTCAATATTGTAACATGGTTAGTTTGGATATTTATTATTTCCCTTATTTCCAGATAACAACGATTGCTGATTGGCTGCATCTGGCAGGTACGTAACAAGTGGTCGCTAAGAGGGTTTTCATAAAAAAAATTAAAATTTTAAAAATAGACATA